CATCACATCTATCAAGAATAGAACAATATTTCTCTTTTGCTACATACCTTAAGATCCCATCAATATCTGGCAATAGTGAGGACCTCTTAATTGTATTTGTATTGCATGTACAGAGATCAAAGACAATTTGAAGGTGCAGTGGTTTGCCGACCTTGCCTAGTTTGGGTATCAGCATCATAGGGACTGTGGTTCCCTGAGCTGGTGATCTTCCATTGGCCATTCTTGATGTAAGCATCACATTTCTCAGTCCATTGTAACCTCATGGCCTCAGGACATCAAGATGGAGACCACAGATAGATTTAGAAGGGTCAATTAGGTTTATCTCATGATTTATTGCACATAGTGGCAGCAGAGGTGTGTTACTTGCTGTTTTTTTACATACTGGTGCAGCATATTGATGAAGCTCCTCTCTTATAGCTTCTAAATTTCCTTTATATAGTTCTATCAACCTTGATGAGAGCTGGGTCACACCATTTCCTTATAGTGGGAGTGATCCTGCTAATCTCACTATCAAGTGGAAGGGGTTGATACCAAAGGTTATACAATGTTAGAACAGGAACAGTGTTCTGAGGATTAAATCATATCCAGATAGGTTTATTACATTGAAGTATCTTTCTTTACTGATAGCCTGATATTCTAGCTTAGCAATAACACCAAAATTGATGCAGGATTGAGATCCTTACACTGCAAGCTGAACAGGTACTGGAGAGGTGAGTTCCTTCTTGATCTCAAGTTGTTGTGCTAGTATACTTGAGATGAAGTCTCCTGGTGATCCAGAATCCACCAGCACCCTGGCTGGTTGTCTATTGATTTTTACCACAATTACAATTGGTTTGGGCATACATCTGGAGGGATCACATCCATTGGATGTATTGCATTGAATTGATGGGTAGGTTCCAGCTGGAATTTGTTGCCCATTCAACTCATGTACATACAAGCAACTATCATCTTCTTCAAGCTTAAGTTTACTGTGAGCTGAAGCCCATGTTCTGATAAGGTCAGACTCATATTCTATTTCAGCTTCTTATTCAGTGATTGATTCACTAAACAAACTCAAAATATGGCATTCAGGGTCATATGGTAAGGAAAAAGCCTGCTTTCCATGTGAATTGAGAGCATTGGATATCTTTTGCTATACCAGGTGACAATATTAAACTGTTCAGTGCATAATAATTTTTCACTGATCTCAGTTTTGAATCCCAAGATGTCTATTATAGATTTTATATGTATTACTATTTCTCATGACTTTGAAACAGCTATAGAAGTCTTGGGCATACTTAGAGTCACCTTCAGGGTATGGAACACCTGATTGGAGTACCCATTTTGCATTCCATATGAGAACATCAACCACTAACTGTGTAGCATATATAGATTGTCTCATGAATGGTGCTCTAGTTTTCTCATGGCATATCCTGGCATACCAGGTACCAATTTTGAATGATGGTCTACACACAGCTCCCTGAAAAATAACTTCAAAGAAATCAAGTGCACAATCATAGATTAATAATTTATCAGTGTCAACAGCATGAGCAATGAATCATTGACTACAGAACTGAAGTATATTGGCTGGATCACCTGGATAAGGTTGTAACATTTCTAACATTTCCTCCAGTTTATTAACAATGGCATGTCCAATACAGGGTAGTAAACTCTCCTTAGCTTCAATAAAGGTGTTTCTCCTTTGCTGATTCTACTTTGTTAGCTAGGGTTTTGAATCTGGGGAGAGGACCAGAGGCATGTACTGCCAGTGGGGAAAGTTGACAAACAGCCCTGCCCAGCTGGTTGTGCAAAGGGTATCTACTAGACATAATTTAGCAAATAGAACTAAGCGTGATAACTGACAAGATGTAGATAGCCTAGGTTAATCAGACTGAGGTATGCCAATGAATGAGCAAGTCAAAGAGGTATAGAATAAAGCTTAGAACTAGGGGGAGTTTAAAAGATGTAATGTTAGTGTTAAGTAACAGTAGCATCACAAATGACTTGAGAGTCTTCACACAAGGAAAGAACTGGCTATCTACACAATAGATAGCCCTTTAAATACAAATCTTGTTATTAAGGAGTCCAAAAGGATATGTGATGGTAAATACAGGCATTGGTAGTGTTTGGGAAACTAAGGGATCAGGTGACAAAAGTGGTCACCTGCTACAGAAGGTTGCTGCTTTTATAAGCAACTCTTCCTCTTCTTCAGCATCACTGTCAAGATAGGCAGACATGTGCAACAACATGGCTAGAGGGACTTGAGGCCAGTATGCATGCAATGTAGTAAAATCTTGTTTCAAATCTAGAATACAAAGTCTTATGGTTTGTCACACATCTGGAACTTTCCAAACTTGTTCCACATCCTTATGGAAAGTCACGTAGTATGATCTGGGATACTTTATTTCAATAATGATTGGTGAAATTGGGACACTACTTGGGAGTTCAGACAAGAAGAGAAAGGAACAATTAATAATAATTTTACAATTAAAAATAGGGCCAATCTGGGAATTGAACCCAGGACCTCCTCCAATCCAGCTTCCATATCTGAAAGCGGGTTTGTCAACCCGAAGGAGGAATCATACTACTAGACCAATTGGCCCTCAACCTAAGTCAGGACTTGGGTTAACTATTATTTGCACAGGAAAAGAAAGCTGGAGACGGATGTTTTGGCCTTATAGTCAATGTTCATGGAAAGGTTATTTCACGTGGAGAAAGATTTCAGAGGTATTATCTATGTATTTTTTCCAGATTCCAAAACTAAGATTACAATCATAGTATAGCACGGCGTCTTGATACAGGCTTGCTACGCTTGCGTTTCTTACCCTGCCCAAACGCATTGGCACTTTTTAGGTCACGACCCAAAGGATCCTCCTTCTTGACTTCGTAGATTCGGACCTAGATGATTAATGAAGTAGGTGAGGGGGAATATTATGCAGCGGCGCTTGCAATGACTCACGATCCAATTCTCCGATGTGAACGCCTCATCCAAGTAGTCCAATGTTGGGCCAACCTTGGGAACCTGTTGTTGCCGCACACGGTCCTGCGCAGGGCCGCCACCGAATAGGTCGGCGAATCTAGGGAAAGCTTGTAAGTGTACGATGGAAGAACGCGTCAAATCTCTAACACGCACCGGTAGTAAGACATTTTGTACATAAGACTGTTTCTCATCGTAGGAGAGGCCATATCGTCGACCTTATACTCGCCCTGTGGTGTGAAAAATGAGGGCTCCTGCACCTCATCGGGCCATACACCCTGTGCAATACGAATCATCCACAAGAACTTGTTGATATCATCGCCCGAGTATCCGATGAGCCCGCCGAAGATAACGAGGACGTAAGAGACATCGTGTTTCCTGAGAATAGGATACGCAACTTCCTCCGAGCTTGACATTGCCTTTCCAACAGTCGCGATGTGGGCTAGGTGGCAGGTCAGTATTGAGTATGGAGACGATAGTGAATATCCACGGACTATTGTTCCAGGTGTTGTTGTCGACGAGAGTAGGGCGGTCGGCCATGCCAGCAATCTGGTATCCATAGTCCCACCAGCTCATAACGACAGCGTCCTCGGGTGTGTTCTGGCGCAGCCAGTAGTACGCCTCACGGAAGTCATCAATGATGTGCTGGCTGCCGTCCGAGTTTTGAGAAGCTAGAACGACAGATGGTGAGGAGTACGCAGAAGAGGTGACCCATGTACAGTGTTGCACGAAGAAGGCGAGCATCCATATTGTGTTGAAGACGATCATGATACGTGTGTCAAGACCGAAGATACCAACCTTCTTCGCTGAGTCTTTCCTGGATGCAGATGACGAGAGGATCTGTGAGATGACGTTGTCCTCGGAAGCAGCAGCGGTCTTCTTGGCTTTCTTGGATGGTGCCACCGCAGTCGAGGATCCGGAAAGAGTGGTGACATTTGTGGGTGCGGTAGAGCTGGCGTCGCTTTGGCTGTCATCAGCAACGTCGGGCTCAGTCGGGTCGATGAAGGTATCAAGGAGAGTAGAGAGTGCGACGGCAGAGGAAACACAAACGACGGGAGTGAGAGTGAGCATGAGGCGGACCATAACTCCAGCAAAGTAGCTCGCGACGGCAGCATAGATGATGACAAAAATGTGCTCATCACGCAGTTCTCTGAAGCAAAGAATAACACCGGCCGGGAAGAGGAAGATGAGGAACTGGAGATCCATGAAGAACGATGGCCATGCCGTGGGCTGATGCTCAGAAACGGAGGCAATGATGGGGATGTACCTACAAGTGGTCAGATAGATGTTATCGGCAGCTGAGGGGGTGACCTACTTCTTGGCGTAGCCAGTGTCCCAAAGAGAATAGAAACGGCCAGTCCAGGGGGCAATCCAACCTTTATAGGTGAGTCCAACGATGCCAAGTGCACCCAAAAGTCCAATGGAGGCAACAGTGACAACGACGAGATTCTTGAACTGTTGGGAGGAGATGTGTGACCTAACAAGTTCTGCGAATGCGACAATCTGGAGAAGACCGAAAACGCCTGTCCAGGTATAAGGCAACGGTACCACGAAAACATATGGTAGAACGCACCAAGAGCAGCCATATGCTCGCTAGTCCTCACAGGCTGGAAGCCAACAAAAGGAACTTGCATGCTGGCCAATGTGCCGATGGCGTACCATGAGGAGTAGGCAACATAGAGACGGCTGCTGAAACGACCCATAATCATGAGAACGAGAGCGTGAAGGGGGATCATGTTAGTGATGAAAGCATAACCACCTATCCGGAACGTTAACCTAGTCCTCATAGGCGGCAAATTCACTTACCCCAAGCAGCAACCATGTAGAAGTAGAATACAGCGGCAACGGTGCCGAAGAGAGCGCTTCCTTGTTTGAGGGCCTTAATCCAGCAGAAGAAGGTAAACATGAGGAGGAAGATGGCAATGGCTTCGTTGTCGTAGGAGCCTGCAACCGAACGGGAGATGTATCCAGGAACGATACCAATGAAAGCTGCGGCGAGAAGACCAGCACTCGCATCTTTCATTTCTTTGGTGAACCTAGAGAGCAGATGAGGGATAGTTATACAGGAATATGAGACAAAGACTTGCTGATAAGTTGCCCATGCAGTCAGGGCGCTAAAACCTGGGGCAAGAAGTACACAGATGTTCCTAATGTCGACCGGTAGGTTGATAGCGTGAAGTAAGTTGTAAATTACACCACTGGTCGCCATAAGACCAGGATAGACGGTCCCACCGACGACTCGTCCGAGAGGATACCATGCTGTAGGATCGAACCAATTCCAGAATTCCTGATTGTCTGGTTAGAGTTTCGCATTGAAGAAACAATAAGAGCACGTACATAGAATCCCTTTGCAGCCAATACTCTCGTTGCGCGGCTTATCCGACAAATCAACGCACGCTATAAACAGACGCGCCAAGCCACTCACTAATTGAACCACGGATCGCTGTGTAAAAGAACCTTTGTGTTAAAAGTGTACTGCACACTACAAAGGTAGGAGGACATACAACTCGTGAATAATACTTTCGAAATTAATGACAGCGAACAGCCGCGACGCTATAGCAGCACCAGAGATGAGAGCAAGGGCAACGATGCGGATGAGGGACGCAGTGTTTGCGACCGTCGTTGGGGACAGATTTGTAGGGAGCGTATAGGCCTCAGGCATGGCCGAAAATCAGTGTGTTTGTGTGCTCCTCGTGGAGAGAATGGAAAGGGACTGTGTTGACGAGTGGGCTGGACGTGGGGCAGAATTGTCGACGTGTCGTGTTCACGATTCTAAATTTAGTTGCTGACAAAGCGCAGCATCATCTTGACTTCTAACCTTCATCATGCCTGCGAAACGCGTTCTTATCAGCTTTGGTGTAGACGTTGACGCGGTAGCCGGATGGTCAGCAAGGCGACATTAATCTGACTGGTTTTTTTTTCCAATTTGACTGCTGACCAGGCTGGGCTCATATGGTGGGGAGGACTCGCCAATGGACATTTCGAGGGTAATGTTTGTTATCTTATGCAGAGTGGGATAGTTTTTGCATGTGTCAATGCCATAGGGTATGTTTGCTGGAGAGGTCGGGACCCCTCGCCTCCTCAAGCTCTTTGATAAATACAACATCAAGACTACCTGGTTCATCCCTGGTAACAGCTTTGATAGATGCACCCATGTACTTCCTCAACAACACTTCAGGACACAGTCTCGAAACATTTCCAGAACAGATGGCAGCCGTGCGCGATGCAGGGCATGAAATGTGCGAACTTGTACCACATATATAACTTGAATTACTGTAACTCGCCTATATCCATAGCGGCTTGCATGGTTATTCGCATGAGGCGAGCCGTTCTATTCATTTACTGCCCATCTTCTCAACAGTTGCTTCAGAATCCCTTGGCCCTCAGCATCGAGCAACAGAAGGACATTCTTGACACAACTTACGACCTTCTAACCGCCTTTAACAACGGAATTGCCCCCAAGGTCAGACTCTGTTGATGAAGTCGTAATGTAACGACTCTGACCTATTCGAAGGGAAGCGTTGCCCCATGGTGGGAGACCAGTAAAGAAGGCGTGCAACTTCTGCTTGACAAAGGAATTGAATATGGTGTGTTGTCTATTACAACCTCTGCTACTAACGACTCACAGCTCAAATTGTAGATCATTCTGGAATGGCTCACGAGTTCGTTCAGAATGCATATATGCTTAATTTTCTATTGACTCCTTGTAGCTGCCAGGCTTACTACTTGAGGGACCAAGATACTTGGACCAAGATCAACTATTCAGCTAGTGCTAAATCCTGGATGAAACCTTTGAAACGCGGGAAGGAAACAGCCCTCGTCTGCATTCCAGCGAACTGGTTAGGCCCTCATTTTTCGATTATTTTGGTCTCTTATGTACACAATTTCTCTAGGTATCTTGACGACCTTCCACCAATGATGTACGTCGTATGTGATAATATGCCATTTATCACTAACAGGGGTCATAAGGTTCATCAAATCAAGCCCTAATTCTCATGGATGGGTGAGTGTTGCGTGATTGTTCGCCCATTAAACTCTGACATGTATAAGGTCAATCCAAGAGACCTTGAAGAGATGTGGAAGGACATGTTCACCTACTGTTACAAGTGCGCCCCTATCGTCTCTGCAGAGCAAACCCATACCGATTGATTCCAGCAATGAAGAAGATTTTATATTTCCGATAACCATCCACCCAGACGTCAGCGGGTAAGCACAAGCGACCTGTAAATTCCATGCCTCGTGTAACAAACATAATCCACAGACGCCCACAGGTCCTGCTTATGCTCGTGAGTGACCGCGTGATTGAGCTCTCCGCGTGTGAGACTCATCATTCCTCCCAGGAGCGCTTCATCGTATGGGTAAACACTCACGACAACGTCCATTGGGTTCCCATGATTGAGATGGTGGAGGACTTCCGCAGTAAGACCACGTCTGGTGCAAAGGCGCCCAAAGGTTTTGAGACCGTTTGAGAGATAAACGAAATGTCGTGGATAACCTACTCCGATCCGTTTATCGCGTTCTGGTAACGTTAGCTGCAGAACCGCCAAGTAAGCTATACGGACATCACGGACCTGTCTATCTCACTTGTCCAGATCGTTGCTTCCTGTTCTGTTCCAATTTCCAAC